ATGACACACACACAATGCAGACACAACAACAACATGACACACACACTAGAGACACACCAACAACATGACACACACACACACACTCTGGAAACACAACATGACACACACACACTGCAGACACAACAACAACATGACATGCACACTACACGTGGCAAGTGATAAGGGGTATTTTTTTGTGCGTGTCGGCGTGCTAACTTGGTTTCGTGGGGTAAACAAATACAACTTCTTGGTTCTTTCGGTAAAGTCACGTAGAATGGAAATAAAATAATGAAAATAAAACATAATAAAATAAAATTCTCACGACGTTTCGGCCACAACACAAGTAGCCTTCTTCAGGTGAAGGAACAGAACTGTCGGACGACAGCGCTTCAATGAACACTGCTAAGCTTGGCAGCGTCTTTTAAGCTGGGTGGGAGGAGCAGAGCGCCTTGACGAAGGAGTTTACATATCAACAGAAGAATTTAGCATTGAAGTAGCTGTGTTAATGTGTTGGATTAGCAGGGTGTTAAAGTCAGAAATTAGCATGTAACTGGGAAATTAGCATGATGTTCGTGTGAGGGATTAGCATGTCACGGAAGTATCTATGTTAAAGTCAGAGTTTACATATCAACAGAGGCATTTAGTATATTGACGCTAAAGAACTGCAACTACCCAAATATCATACAATAAGCCGATGTGAAAGAACTAAGTATAAACTACATCAACATAATAAATGTACTCAATATATTCTTCAATAAGTTGAGCTAGTAACATAAAGTAACTGGGTATACACTACACTATATAATGAATACCATATAGTAAACTGATCAAAAACTAAAATATAAACTACATCAATGTTATCAATAAACTCAATATACTCTCCAATCAGCTGAGCAATTTCATGTCGAAAAAAGTGGCGGTTTCTTTTTTTTTCTTTTTAACGTTAGCACCACGGAAAGCGACGAGCTTTGTTCAGACGGACGAGTCCATCTATGTTCGGAACGGAGGAGGGGGGAGAGAGAGAAACAGCCACGATGCGCTGCTCTGTCCTGTGTTGCGTTACAACTATGCTATAAACTAGACTACTATACATTACAATGTTATACCTTCCAATCTAAACTACATTGTATAATATCGTATACACAGCCCAATGTAAGCTATAACATTATGCATCATATTGATATGTCTCCAACTAAACTTCTTTCTACATTACACGACTATACACCGTAATATACACTGCCATAGACAAAGCCCACCCTTGAATTATACAATGCGTTACTATACACTACCCTATACTTTAGACTATAAAATATTAGACTTGTAATATTACACTATGTATTATTCTACCAACCCTACTGTATACCACACTGCTGTATATTCACTATACAATTACAGTACTGTATATTGCCTTATGAATTATGTTAAACATTACACTGTTATACTATTTATTATACAAACATGCTATAAACCATACCATTGACCATCGTGTGAAAGGTATTAAGAGGCAGTGCCAGCGAATGGACTGTGGTCTGAAAGTCACCGTAAAATACAATCAAGAACAGAAATGTTATAATTCAGTAGGCTCACATGACATTGACTTTTCCAAGACAGAGGTTCTTTGTAAGCCATCTGGCTACCATGAGAGATTCGTTCATGAGGCTATCCACATATACAAGCACAGAGACAATTTCAACCGAGAAGATGGATTCTGGCTTAGCAATCATTGGAAGGATTTGATAAACCATTTCAGGTCTTAATTGATTGTTCACGCTTATGGTGGCTTTCAGACAGCATACATTAATTTTTTCGTCTCCCCCCTCCTCTTTTCAGAACATAGATGACTAGTCCTTCTAAATAAGCTGCCAAATCGCTGCGCGTGGCGCTGACGTTTTTTTTATAAATAAATACACCGTTTAAAAAAAAATAATGCAAACCGACACTTCTTTCAAATGTTTCTTGCCGTTGGTTTTTTTTCACACCTGATGACGACCGTTTGTGTTATGGTCGAAACGTTGTGAGAATTTTTATTGTTTTATATGTATTTTATTATTTTATTGTTTCCCTTCAACCTGACTTTACCGAAAGAGCTAAGAATATGAATAAGAACCGAAATGGTTTATAACGTCTTTCCAATGGTTACTAAGCCAGAATCCTCTTCTCAGTTGAAATTGTCTCCGTATTTGTATGTCCTAATTAAAAGGAGACCTGATGGTTCAATGATCCACTCTGTCTACAGGAAAGCTACTCATACGGATGCTACTTAAAACCAGATTCCCACCACCATCCATCCCAGAAAAATTCCCTCATCAAGACTCTATACCATAGAGCCCAATGCATTTCCGACCAGGAACGCATTGCCAGTGAACTCAAGCACGTACACCAAGCTCTCAAGGCTAATGGTTACTCCGACTACACAATCCACAAAGCCATCACTCCAACCATGAGGAGCCATTCAAAACCATCACCTTACTCTACATTGCGGGGGTCACAAAAAAGATCTCCAAAATCCTGAATAAACACAAGATCCAGGTCCGATTCAACACAGTACATAAAATCCGTGATCTGGTTCCGTCTGTAAAATATGTGGTTCCAGACATACAGTACCAGGGCGTCTACAAACTAAGTTGCCTCTGTAGTAGCAGCTACATTGGAGAACCAAACGACATATCTCGGACCGCATCCGTGAACATAAAGCAGACTTGAAACACGGTAGGACGAACACCTCAGCCGTGGCAGATCACTGTTATAATTCAGTGGGCTCACATGACATTGACTTCTCCAAGACGGAGGTTCTCTGCAAGCCATCCGGCTACCATGAGAGATTCGTTCATAAGGCCATCCACATATACAAACACAGAGACAATTTCAACCGAGAAGATGGATTCCGGCTTAGTAACCATTGGAAAGACGTTATAAACCATTTCGGTTCTTGATTGATTGTAGTTTACGGTGACTTTCAGACCGCAGTCCATTCGCTGGCACTGCCTCTTAGTACCTTTCACACGACGGTCAATAGTATAGCTTATAGCATTTTGTATAATAATAATAAACAGTATAAGAGTGTAATGTTTAACATAATTCATAAGGCAATATACAGTACCGTAATTGTAAAGTGAATATACATCAGTGTGGTATACAGTAGGGTTAATAGAATAATACATAGTGTAATATTACAAGTACAGAGCAGCGCACCGTGGCCGTTTCCTCCCCCCCCCCTCCTCCGTTCCGAACGTAGATGGACTCGTCCGTCTGAACAAAGCTCGTCGCTCTCCGTGGTGTTAATCCCTCATACTAACATCATGCTAACCCCCCAGTTACATGCTAATTTACTGTTGATATGTAAACTCCTCTCCTCCCTCCTCCGTTCCGTACATAGATGGACTCGTCCATCTGAACAAAGCTCGTCGCTCTCCGTGGTGCTAATCCCTCACACCAACATCATGCTAATCCCCCAGTTACATGCTAATTTATATGTTAACTCCTTTGTCAAGGCGCTGTTCCTCCCACACAGCTTAAAAGACGCTGTCCATGCTTATAAGTGTTCACTCAAGCGCTGTCTTCCAGACAGTCCTGTTTCTTCACCTGAGGAAGGCTACTTGTGTTGTGGCCGAAACGTCGTGAGAATTTCATTCTGTTATTATTTTTATTATTTTATCTCCATTCTATGTGACTTTACCGAAAGAACCCAGAAGATACATTTATTATATTGATATAGTTTATACTTAGTTCTTTCACATCAGCTTATTGTATGATATTTGGGTAGTCGCAGTTCTTTAGCGTCAATATACTAAATGCCTCTGTTGATATGTAAACTCTGACTTTAACACAGCTACTTCCGTGACCAGTTACATTCTAATCCCTCACACTAACATCATGCTAATCTCCCAGTTACATGCTAATTTCTGACTTTAACACCCTGCTAATCCAACACATTAACATGGCTACTTCAATGCTAAATTCTTCTGTTGATATGTAAACTCCTTTGTCAAGGCGCTCTGCTCCTCCCACCCAGCTTAAAAGACGCTGCCAAGCTTAGCAGTGTTCATTGGAACGCTGTCTTCCCGACAGTTTTGTTCCTTCACCTGAAGAAGGCTACTTGTGTTGTGGCCGAAACGTCGTGAGAATCTTATTTTATTATGTTTTATTTTTATTATTTTATTTCCATTCTACGTGACCAAGAAGATGAATCCCTGCAGTCACGAAAACTTTCAATCGAAAAATTAAACAAATACAATATAATCTTCATCATAGTAACATCGCTGTCAACCCAACATTGTGTGTTGTGTCTATTTGTTTGTGTTTCTCCCTTGTGATGCAACTTTGTAGGATGAACGTTGAGATTTATATAAGAAGGGCACGGGGGGGGGGGGTGACCAATAAGGTCTTAATTGCTCTGTAATAAAGTAGCGTACTGATAAGGGGTTTGCCAGCTATGTAGTATACACAACGTACTTTCATACCTAAAGAGTACAGATGCGCAAACGCCGATAAATACAAGTAACACATTAAGACGTGGAGACAGCGCATGGCAGTGTCTACAGACGAATACAACCAGGCATATTATGTTCGGTAGCATTTAAACAAACACACAAGCTCACTGGACATGAAGACGACGACGACCACCACCACGAACTAACACACGTGTGCCCGACATGTATGTTATAACAACAACAACAACACATGACGAAGAGGACACACGGACGGCGAGAAGCGACTGTAGTTGCGTGGACAAAGATGAGACAAAGATGAGTTGCGGACACACTCGGCAACGTAAGCAAAAGATTCACTAATACACACTAACCATTCTGATGAGCGAGTTGACAGCGCACCGGGTATACACACAGAGAGAGAGACATGCAACCCAGGCAGGAGCCCACTATGAAGACAAAGTACACTCGTCAACAAAACAGTTAAGACGTACCAACCACCGACAAGATCTCACAGCGAGACACACACACATATATAACACATGTTAGAACACACACGTGTTGTGGTGGTGGAGCCTGATTAAAGACACTTACCCCTGTTTAAACGTCCGTGTGGGATCCCGTCCGTCTGCCTCCCTCCCTCCTTGAAGACTCGCCTCGTCCTGCTGGGGGGGATGGATCTGGCAAAGAGGGGAGGGAGACTGCTTGCTTGCTGCTGCTGTGTGAGCACAATGTTGTCTAGGGGAAGGCAGAGAGAGAGATGTGTGTATATACGTACAACGTGTGTGTATACGTACGTGTGTGTGCGTACAACGTGTGTGTATACGTACAACGTGTGTGTGTATACGTACGTGTCTGTGTGTACAACGTGTGTATACGTACAACGTGTGTATACGTACAACGTGTGTGTATACGTACGTGTCTGTGTATACGTACAACGTGTGTGTATACGTACGTGTGTGTGTACGTACGTGTGTGTGTACGTACGTGTGTGTGTGCACGTACGTATCTGTGTGTACAACGTGTGTGTACGCACAACGTGTGTGTATACGTGTGTGTGTGTACGTACAACGTGTGTGTGTATATGAAGGGCGGGTTCACACAGCGATGTATTTCAGACTGTCCCCCCCTTCCTTCCTGTGCACGGCATTAGCGGAGCACGCGAAGCTGCTGTAAAGAAGAATGTGTCGGAGATGTGTGGTGTGTGTGGGCACATACCTATGACTGTATGTATGTGATGTGTGTGTGGGCTCATGCCTATGTCTGTATGTATGTGATGTGTGTGTGGTGTGTGTGGGCACATACCTATGTCTGTATGTATGTGATGTGTGTGTGGTGTGTGTGGGCACATACCTATGTCTGTATGTATGTGATGTGTGTGTGGTGTGTGTGTGGGCTCATGCCTATGTCTGTATGTATGTGATGTGTGTGGTGTGTATGTGTGGTGTGTGTGGGCACATACCTATGTCTGTATGTATGTGATGTGTGTGTGGTGTGTGTGGGCACATACCTATGTCTGTATATATGTGATGTGTGTGTGGTGTGTGTGGGCACATACCTATGTCTGTATGTATGTGATGTGTGTGTGGTGTGTATGTTCATGCCTATGTCTGTATGTATGTGATGTGTGTGTGGTGTGTGTGTTCATGCCTATGTCTGTATGCATGTGATGTGTGTGTGGTGTGTGTGGGCTCATGCCTATGTCTGTATGTATGTGATGTGTGTGTGTGGTGTGTGTGGGCACATGTCTGTCTGTATGTATGTGATGTGTGTGTGGTGTGTGTGGGCACATGCCTATGTCTGTATGTATGTGATGTGTGTGTGTGGTGTGTGTCGGCACATGCCTGTCTGTATGTATGTGATGTGTGGTGTGTGTGGGCTCATGCCTATGTCTGTATGTATGTGATGTGTGTGTGGTGTGTGTGGGCTCATGCCTATGTATGTATGTGGTGTGTGTGTGGGGTGTTTGGGCACATGCCTATGTCTTTATGTGATGTGTGTGTGTGGTGTGTGTGGGCACATGCCTATGTCTGTATGTATGTGATGTGTGTGTGTGGTGTGTGTGGGCACATGCCTATGTCTGTATGTATGTGTGGTGTGTGTGGGCTCATGCCTATGTCTATATGTATGTGATGTGTGTGTGTGTGGTGTGTGTGGGCACATGCCTATGTCTGTATGTATGTGTGGTGTGTGTGGGCACATGCCTATGTCTGTATGTATGTGATGTGTGTGTGTGTGGTGTGTGTGGGCACATGCCTATGTCTGTATGTATGTGTGGTGTGTGTGTGTCCATGCCTATGTCTGTATGTATGTAATGAGCATGTGGGGTGTGTGTGTCCATGCCTATGTCTGTATGTATGTGATGTGTGGGCACATGCCTATGTCTCTATGTATGTGATGAGCGTGCGTGTGTGCGTGATGAGCGGTGGTGCAGCGGTGGGCGCGAGTTCCATTTTCGCTTCACGGCCACCAACACCGGTGAAGATTTGAACCGGTCCTGGGACTCCCCCAACCCACTAGGTCGACTCAGCCTCAAATGAGTACCTACCAGGTGCGGTGTGTGTAAACATCGCCACGAGGGAAACAAAGACGGCCGGGCGTGGTGTTGGCCACCCACCCCGTTGTGTGCCGTGCCGCTAACAGCACTTGCCCCCATAACAGTCTGTTAAGGCTGTACGGGGGATGTCTGTGTGTTGTGTGTACTCAAGCACGTGCCCGTAATTGGTGACGGGTGTGTGAGTGTGCAAACGCGTGTCTGTATGTGACATGTATGCTCGAGGATGTGTCTACATATGTACAGCGATGTTGCATGTGTGTATTTATCATGTGCGCCGGTGTCTGTGTTCGTGTGTCAGCAGCTGATGAATGTGGGTGGAGTGTGCGTATTATAATGGGTTGGCTATTTTTATGCTTTATTCAGAAAGTTTTGCTGAGTCTCCAAAACTATTTTTCATTACTTTACAGTAATGTTGTGGTGGGTGTCTGTGCATTATTAAGTGCGTGACTGCAAATTTCAAACACTTGTAGGAATGAACGAGCACGGGACGCCTCGGTTAATCCGCTACCAATTTTTCCGTCCTCTCTCTCTCTCCCTGATGATCTTACTCCGTGACATGGCCTGGTCCCCCGAGACTCGCACACGAAACTCTCAGATGCACAATGAAATAACGCAACGCGCACCATAACCTTGAGCACTGAAATCCACATCAATCCCCCGACTAACCTGCTCTGGCGAAGATTCTACCATCAAAATAACTGCAGAGACTTCGCGCGAAAATTGCAGAGGAGTTTTGCATATTTTCTTGCCAACAACGACCACCTTATATACCCATCAACCAAAATCTCAACAATGTAGCACGCGGCTTACTCAAGTTTCCCCGCACCTCCGATTGCCGCTGTACGGTGCGAAAGAAGTTCAACATACATACAAGTCCTCGATCCCACTTCTGGGATGGCGCAATCATCCTAGAATCTCTCATCCAGACCCGGAAGAAGGCTGGCAAAACAGTGGAAATAATGTGAACGTCAAGAATAAACACCTCATTCGAGACCAAAACCGTAGAGGAAACCACTGTGGACTGAGCTCCAATGAGTTGCAAAACGACACCAACTCTCTCCCGAAGCCCTCTTCGTGGCGAGCCAGACCTCGTCAATGTCATCTATCTCCTTAACATATTGCCAACAAAATAGTGCGACTGTTACAAATTAGCCACGTGTGATTTGTTCCCGTTGTGACGTATACGATGGTGTGTTCAGCTCGATCAGCATGATGTGTCACATGTATTCTACAGTGCCTGTACGTGTCTGCTTTCAGTGAACCTATGTTGTGGTATCTGGGTCTGTCCCATAACCTCCCGTGAGCGAGCCTTCGACACTTCACGTGGGCTCAAAGTGCACGTAGCCTGGCACACATGCACTGGTGGCGAACGGTGGCTGTGTGTTGTCTGCATTCACACGTGTCTGTGACGGTGTCTTTGTTTTTTTCAGTTTCATTTATTTGGTATAGCCGTGAGCCATTCGGATCTTGAATCGGGTGCAACCGCAACAAACAAAAAACAAGAAAACATCTTAAAGTGATTATGTGACTGTGCAAACAGAAAATCCAGGAAAAAAACAGCAAAATATTCCTGAAAAAGCACCGTACACCAACGCTGTGTGCAAAAATCCCAGTGGGATGCAAGTCAAACAACAACAAACACAAGATAACTTAGATTAAGGCCATCAGTCTAACTCCGTACTACAACAAACATGGTCAAGCCATAAATGCAATGTAACAGTGATCATTGTTGTTTGCCACAGAATGCCTGTGGTGTGCGTGTGACTGTGTACCTGCTTAGTGTCTGGATCTGATGGTATATCTGTGTCTCTGGTGTATGCGACTGCGTGGCTGTGATAGCTCGTTATTATACTGGTAGGAACGAAGTTGTAAACTGAGTGTACCAGCCTGCAATAGATTAATCCGTCCGTCCCCTTTCAATACTTTAACGAAGTGAAATCTCGTGCTGTTGGGCGTAAAATCAGCAATAGACAGCGCAGAGACTTGTCCTACCAGCCCACCCTGCAGGGACCTGTTACTGCACTATCTATAACATCACCGGTCTGCCTGTGATGGGGGGGGGGGAGATACAGTGGCTAATGTGTTTCAGTCTCTGCACGAGGAACACATTCCTGCGGAAGGCGCTGGTAGGAACGTTGGGATTCTCGGTCAATGGCCAGGGTCACCGGCGGCGTGGTGGATTCCGCAAATATGCCCGACTGTGAGAGCGGGCACAAGCCGGCGTGAAGGGTGGCGACCGAGTGGGGACCTGAGATGGTGGAGAGAAGAAAAAATCTGTTCCTACAAAAAAAAGAGTACAATACCCACGAATTGGCGGCTTATAATGTAGAGATTGAGAGCAGTCACATACTCCAAACGCATGTTGTTGATTCTCCACGTGGAGGGGAAAATGTCGTGAAGATGGCCGGACGTGGTTGGTGGCCACCCAACCCCCTCGCGTGTGCCGTGGCTGGTGGCCACCAACCCCCTCGTGTGTGCCGTGGCTGGTGGGCACCCACCCTCTCGTGTGTGCCGTGGTTGGTGGCCACCCACCCCTTCATGTGTGTTGTGGTTGGTGGCCACCCACCCCCTCGCGTGTGCCGTGGCTGCTGGCCACCCACCCCTTCATGTGTGTTGTGGTTGGTGGCCACCCACCCCCTCGCGTGTGCCGTGGTTGGTGGCCACCCACGCCTTCGTGTGTGCCGTGGATCGTGGCCACCCACCCCTTCGTGTGTGCCGTGGCCGCCTTCCCCACCCAGCCCCCCCCCTCCCATTTTTGGATGCACGACGGACACAATAAACCCCTGTGGGCTGGTGGAACCAGGAGGTTCCTACCAGTATTAATTTGACAAGTCAGCACAAAGTATGGCGTGGGAGGCGAGGAGTGGCTTCTTGTGTGTTTTTAATAAGCCCTCTAAATGGACGCACGCAGGAATGCAGTGGCTTTAATGATAAACACATGACACATTATGGTCACAGAGTTTTATATACAGTATAGTACACATCCGCGGATAGATCCTTTGCTGCTACTTATGTATAGTACGTTGCACTTCTTTCGCATTGTACGTTGCCGACCGTGCTAATCGGATTTGCGAAAACATATCACACATTATTGCTATCCAATGTTTCATATCTAACCCTAGGAAATATACCGTCAAATACTCCACACGGTTCTAAGTTGTTGGGTCTCAAAGACCCGTGCAAACAATAATGTTTAATTAATTGGTCAACAATTACTTATTGCTCCCTCTATATATAGGATGTTAAATGTATTGTGTAAGGTAATGCAAAAGCCTGTAACGTGGAAACGGGTCTCTTGGACCGAAGATTGTGTGAGAGTTAATGAAGTTTTGTGTAGTGTTACGTTTGCAGTGCAATCACTGTTAACCGATAACAATTGCCTAACTACAGTTTTGCATTACTGCACTGTACTCTTTATTTTAAGACATATTCAATCCACGTTATAGGACAATACTGACAATGAATTTGCATTGACGGAGATATTGTCAAACACAGCATTGATCTGTTCCTGTCAATAACTCAAAATCTTCACCATTTGCATACCGTGTCAAACCCGTATTGTTTTACAGGGAAATTGAGTTTACAGGTGCATACAACGTACAGACAATAAGGTCTGTAATAACGTAGGCACTGATAAGGGGTTGACAGGTATGTATTATTAGAATAACATAAAATGACACATTGTAAACACTTCACACAGTAAATTAAATATTTGAATCGCACTTAATATAGCAAAATGACAAAAATTCACACACCCACAATACTCTACGGTATATAACGAGACATGATCAATCAAGTGCCCTTTTGGAAGCACATTAAAAATCAATCTTCAAAAACCACTACCAGATTAACTCTTGCTAGGCAGTAATTACAATACGAAAACAATATCTAAGGCTGTTATGACAATTATTCATGAAAACTACGTCCATGATGACACTCTACAATAAAATTACGTAAGGTTATTCAATAAAGTTTAGAGTAAATGAGAGCTTGCTGAAGGAAAGTTACACTTTTCGCATATGCATTGTAAATCGTACGGAATATAAATTCATTTAAAACGTCACTTTGGTGAAATCAGTTCCATCGAATATCATTCGTAGTAACGCGGTTCCCAATCGCATTGTAATAATAACATTTATATAGCGGCATTTCATCAAGGATTTCAAAGCGATGCGCTTGGACACAGCAGCAATATACAACATAAAAAATAATATTATTATAAATACATTTAAATAATAATATACTAAATGAACTAAAAGTTTCATAAGCAAACCAATTGGTTTTGGCGACTGAGAAACGTATGACGTAACCATTCCAGCCACGATCACAAAACGCGTTTGGTAAATGTTGCTTCGCATTATATTTTGAACCCCGCGGCAGCCCGTACACGAGCTGGCTCCCCCCGCCCCACCACCTCCCCCGCCCTTCACCCCCGCCCCACAAAAACACCAAGTGGACGCGCCCGCAGCGCCTCCACACCCATTGGTCAACGCCGCCAGCAACAACCAATCAAAACCGTCGCCATGTCTCGCACGTGATTGAATCAAACCAAAAGAAGGTGGAGGGGGGGGTTTGCTGTCAGCTTGTGAACGAGACAACCTCGTTCGACGGACTGTAATAACCCCCCCCACACCATCCCCTCCTCCACAGGCGGCCATCTTACTTAGGGTAAGTTCACGCGTAGGAAAACAACATAGGGGGGGGACGTCATCAAAGATGCGACGACGTTGGATAGCCTATACTCTATAGGAACGTGACGCCTGAAGCGGCGTCAGGTTCACCCCTTGGTAAGATGGCGGGGAGTTTCTTGCGTCGCACGGCAAGGGGGGGAGGGTGGTGGTGGTGGGGGCTATGATTGTCAAAACGATGGCGGCTTCTCTGCGAGGGGGCGCTGTGCGGCTCGTCCTGTCCGGTAAGTTTAAGCAACAACAATAACAACAACAACATCAGTAACTTACGAAAGCAAGAAACACGCACGCGCCAACACTATGTAACGTTGCGCCCTCCACACGTGGCGACGTATTGTAGTTCAGCACTGAAATCGCCCCACGCGTTGAATTAATGTTGGGTCCTCCTTGTGTTGGCTGGTTCCGTTGTGACTTTGCGGTGGCCTTGGCTGTGCAAACGGTAACAGCCCCATTTATAACATGCAGGATTGTGCTTCACGCAAGCCAAGTGTCAACTGTCGCTGCCCTCGGGCCGATAAAGTTGGTACTGCTTTGGGTGGGAACATTGCCAGGCAATGTCATGTGGGTGGACTGAGACACCTGCCATAAGAATGTGGAATTTACCGCCGCTGGCTAAGTGAGGGCAGCCAATTGATATGAGCTCCGCCCCTCTGCTCGTTTTAGCACGGAGACATTGACTTTACCTCGCCGATACAGCCTTTTATCAGTATTATACTGTTAGAGGAAGGCCTCCCATGGTGGTTGACCATACTTTAGCACGCTCGTTAGTGCAGGGGGGTGGGGGGTTGTGCATTGACAATAATTTAGCCCACAAAGTAATGGGACACCGTCCCCATTGCGTTAAAATTAAACATCGCAGCATATGTAAAATAAAAACGGTCTGTAGGTCACGCTACCCTTTGTTTTCCACATACGGCACAGCTTAACCAAGCTAGTCAGGCACGTGGAACTGTCATTTGAATTGTTATCCACTGATATGGAGGGGCTCTATTGGCAGATCCTAATATCTGCGCTTAATGCAAATGTTTTTTTTTCGTATGAAATGTCAGAAAGCCAACAAGATTAATTCGCCACTTATTTTTGAGACCACTTCTGTGTGAAGAATGTTTGGGTGAAATCCAATAGATAATCGCATACATTGCGATGAATTTGCCTGGTTACACCTTCGTTCGATCCGCATTTCTCCGTTGATAAGATAATTCACTTATAAGGTTGCAGAAACCACTTCTGGTGGTGACTCAAATCGCAGTCACGTCATCAAGATTGTCATTCCAATCTTCCACGACTGGGATAGGCGGACCATGTGTGTGCGTTGCATACCATCGAGCGGGTAATGGGAATTTACTACTGCTTCCTGGATAGCACTACTTAGAACGGATAAATTTCGATTTAAAGCTTTCGTGACTGCAGGGATTCATATTATTGGTTCTTTCGGTAAAGTCACGTAGAAGGGAAATAATAAAAATAAAACAATAAAATTATCACACCTGATGATGATTGCTTGTGTTGCAATCGAAACGTCGTGAGAATTTTATTGTTTTTTTTTATTATTTCCCTTCTACGTGACTTTACCGAAAGAACCAAGAATAGAACGGATAATTTTTAATTTCCATCATCACGGTCCACGGGCAGGTACTCCGGAGGTGTCCACTGCACATTTCGTAATTTGTTTCCACTTTCCTCTGTCTTGTGCCAATATGCTCAAGCAGTGCCACATCTTTCTGGCACCAATCTCTTATGTCAACAAGCAATTGCATTTTACGTGGATCAATTCTGGGATATTGGGATAATAAGGAAGGCAAACAAAGGGTGTTGCACTTGAGCTAGGAAGTCAAGATTGCGCCTTCAGGTGCAATATTAACTTATTTTTGAAATGGAATAAAATATGTCATTCTTGATTAAACTTGAAAGGCAATTGATATTTTCATTGTATGAAGGTGCAACAGCAATGCCATGGAATATTAACTGTATGTAAACAATACCATATTAAGTTAATCGTTACAGTGGTAGAAAAATGGTGGTAAAGTAACATTTATATTATTCGAGCCTCATTTATTTTTCAGCTTTATTTGATATCTGGCTGTCAGAATTCACCGTTCAGTTTTGTGATTGATGATTCCACTTTCACTGATATATTATAGCCATACCCTCCTGTAATACTACTGAGAGCTACTGCCTTCAGGGGGCTCTGTGACTCAAATTTCTATGATTGCACAGCTATTTTTGTCTTTTTTTCTCTTTATACGTCTCGCCTTTAAAACTTCCTTCTAGTTTTTTTTTCCAACCTCATAAATTGTCTCATAAAAAAAAGATTGGCAGTAAAGGCCAATGCAACAAAATCAATTGTTTTACTTCTATGCTGCAACATCTGTAATCGCTACCTTAAACTGCACTGACCAGCGTGGTGAAGTGTGGTTAAATAACCCCACAACTTAGAGAGCGAGGTAAGGCTCCTATCCAGCAGTGGATTAGCAAAAGGGCTGTACATGTTCATTTCAGCTCTTTTGCTCTGTCCATTTTCGAGTATTCACAACTTGCCCTTTTGCAATATATGCATCAGGGGCATCTGCTTAGCAAATATGCTTATAAAACAAAGAGTGCATTTATTTAAAAAAAATTGTAACGTATATGTGTACTTGTGAGAATAGCAGGCAGCCTGCGGCGGCTGTCCCTGGAACGCAAGCTGACGGCGACACTGCTCCCGTGCGCTCCCCGGCTGGGTCACCAAGCTACAAACGGCCTTCGATGCCTGCACACCGCTACCATGCTGCTCACCAAGGAGGGCGACGAAGCAGAAAAGAGTCGCGGCCAACATCGTCCGGCGGAAGACACGCATGGCTCAGCGGAGCACAAGTCTGCCGAGTCCACGGAGCGGTACTGACCCCATCCGTAGACTCCTGCATGCTATTTGCTATACCTATACGTAGTTATAATGAGACTTTGGGAAGAGGTGTTGCATACTTGTATGGGATAGCATCATTGTGCAACAAGTAACTCGGTGGTTGGTTGATGACTCGTGTTTATTATACCAGGCAGCAATCATTTTAGATGTATATTTAGATAATTTACATTTGACATAGAAAATTGAAAGCAAAAAAATGTGAAGAAATAGGAAATTAAATAACAATTAATGAGGCAAATATACATACGTACAATTTCACTTGTTAAAATTAAAAGGGCATATGGTAGGATCATCTTCCAGCATGTCCAGGGCTATAAGTTCCTTTGGCCAACCCGGTTGCACTGCACATCCAGAGATTATGTGCGTTCGTGTGACCTCCAGCCCACAGCCACATAGCAGCTGTCACACAGGCCCCAGTGATAAATCATTGACATGATGCATCTTATAAAGCTGGGTGCAAAAAAAGTCTTGCAGAATTGTTCAAATAAGTATATAGTTATAACTAGAGAACTAAAATATTATAAAAGAAAAAGATATATAAAAGCACAATTTTTTTTTACAGAATTGCAATTTAAATTACAAGAGGTGTTACAGTGCACTTCTAATATAAAATAATGCTACAGACTTCACACCAATTATGCATGAAAGCTGAGACTGGAATTTGAAGGTCAGGCCTGTCTCTGTGTGTGAACTGTGTCACGTGGTAGCGGAGAGGAGATGGGAAGCGAGTACGGTGGCTATGACAGTGAGGAGGAGATGAAGCAGAGGATTCTCATGCGCGCCTTGGAGTTTGTGCCCGAGTTCGGCTGGACCAACGAGGCTCTGGCAGAGGCAGCGACCGTACGAGACCCCGTAGCACCAACACGCTACAGCACACCAACATAACTACCCAGTGTGATACAGCCACCAATTATCGTATTGTTTATTGTTCTTAACGCTTTTCATGAGCCCCAGATTTATGTTAGGAATTTGAGATGCACCACCCACATAGCCCTCATAGACAGGTATATCATTGGGAAACTTGCTGAGCCCATCAAAATAATTTGGCGCAAAATTTTAGGTGCCATACACAACTAGGCAATGTGTAATGGGGTGACCTACATGACTTAAGAGGCTGCATTAATGAAAGAGAATAATACAAAATTTCAACTATGTGACCCTAATCACTATGCAACTTTCAGGATAACTATTTTAGAACACTCACGTGGTATCACAGCCGTGCTGGAGTTCTGTCACTTCCGTTCAAAAGTTAGACCTCCTTGACTCCAGCTGTAAGTCATGACACACGATGCATTGTGGGTGCACCATGTTAGTATGTGGAGCTCATAATGCAGATGTATATTTCAAACCCACAATGGAAACACGCTAACCTGTTGTTGAGACCGTTAGTTATCGGTTTCTACTGCCAGGTCGCGGTGGCTCAGTATTGTTTTGACAATGTAATAAAATTGTGTTCTTTTTTTCTGCAAAAAGTTTTCTTTTTTGTCATTTTTGCCGCACATCGGCACCACAGGCAGAGGGCCTGTCACCGGCTGTGTCCGGGATCTTTCAAAAGGGAGCCGGTGACTTAGTGCTGCACTTCGTTCAGGACTGCAACAAGCGCCTGTCCGAGCAGCTCACGGAGGAGAACAAGCTCGTGCAGCTCGGGCAGGCAGAGTGAGTGTTGGCATTCAGTGCAAACCCCCCGCCCGTGAGGTCAGACCACAATGTGCTGCTGCTGTCACGCGAGCATATCAACAGGCTTATATGCACTTGAGTTATCGTGTGTGGTCATTCGTTCATTCATTTGTGTTCATTCCTCTTAAGCTTTGTTAAAGCGTTTCATGTACGGATCAGAAAGCTGAAGCAGTTTCAGAAGGCTTATTATTAACTAAAATTATTGTAAAAAATAATTTCCCAAATGAATGACGCAATTGATTACGTGAATTGTCCACCTGGAGACCAATTCAGTTTTAAGCAGGCTGATTGTGTGCCTGTTATACTTAAATGTGGTACTCAAATCGGTATTTGACGACAATGGTTATATTGTAGAGTTTTACTTGATTTTGTCGTAGGACCGTTAAACTGTTCTTTCTCATTTGATTTGTAGGAACAAGGAAACAGATCAGTTTCTGCGGGACGCAATAGAAGCCAGGCTTCGCATGCTCATCCCGTACATGGACAAGTGGACACAGGTTTGTGTGTAATGCGCTTTGCTCCAATAAACCTCATGCAGCAATATTAGCTGCTGCTCCTAAGTATGCAATTTGCGTTAACTCTGATAACTCGTATCATAAGATTTGGCAGGTAAATATGTTGTTCGCATTGAAATTGCATGTGCACTTAGAAGAATGCTGAATCGTTTTTTTATTATCAACATATTTTCGTACCAAATTATAAAACAATTGTCACAACAAGAAAGTGTATTGAAAAATATTTTAACTTGTGTTTAAAATCTGTCTTATCAGTATGTGGGCATTATGCAAACAGCACACTTGATACATTGGCAACACCAACATGTCATGACATCACGTTTCCATTTCCAGAGTCACCGCAGTGTAAATGATCTGGGTTCCCCAGCTGTTAATCTAAGTGTCAAAGCAGCAATTGCCCATTAAATCCTGTGTACACGCATCCCAGTTCTGATTTAATCCTCTGGTAATTAGTCCTGCTGAGGCAATTTACCCAACACTGGTTGAAATCCACTTCGAATTAATGCATTTGCAGGAGTCAGCGTCTTGGCATATCTGTGAGCAGGTCATGATTTGTGTTTGTGCCAATAACAGGACTGTCTGTATAATAAGATTAAAAGTAAATATGCTGGTGCTTTTAATATGCCCTTAAAGCTACATAACTGCTGGATGTAATGATCGAGGCTTAGTTTGGCAAATCATTGAACGCATGATAATGATGTGCATTCAAATCCTGCCCAGGGTCAACTAAACCCATAATTATTAAAATTAGTTTTAAAAAACATCGGTCAAATTTGCACCATCTAGTAACCACCCATATAGTGGAAAATCAGCATTCACTGTCTCGTGAATAAGAAGAGTCCTTGTAATAAGAATGTGGAAATTTCCCAACTGACTCAGAACCAGGAATGTGGAAATTTCCAAACTGACTCGGGCCCAACAATGAAAATCGCCCAATGCTCAAAGACCATGGAGAAACGTTTTTGACTTTTCTCCTATTGTAATGGTTAATGGGTAATTGGTGTTGTTATGGGAAATAGGCAATTGCTCCTCATTTAAACCATATTGGTGGTGTGTAGCACGTTTTTGAAGTGTATAATGCGAACCGAGCAATTAAAACTGGGTCCAGCCAGACTGACACTGTGCGCGCCGTTACGGCCACATTTCTCCTGCCCGGTGTGCTCAGGCAATGGGGATATTGGTGATGCCGCAGAACTTGCCGGAGAGCGTGACGCTGCTCACGGCGCTCGTGGATGAGATCTGCTACCAGGGTGGCGACCGCTCCACCGATGTATGTGCCCACCACACCCCCTTGTGGATTAGTGCCCAAGGAGAAGGGACACTCTTACTTGACTTGTTTATGTTTCGCTTTGTATCAAAGGATTGCAGTTCAGATTACCTCAGTGGGGAGATGTAGCTCACCTGGTATCCAGGAGGTCGTGGGTTCGATCCGGACCGTGACGCTTGTATATTTGGAGTTTGCATGTTCTCCACATGCGTTTCGAGTATTTGGCTGCTATAAATTTACACTTGATGAGAAGCCACTTCGTTCAGCTGTCATTTGTGACCAGGTCACTTCTAAAAAAGAGCAGTATAAATCAGTGGGTCTTACCTGGTAAAATAAACATAGTTGAGTCGTAAAGGTATAGTCCTGGTATTGTATTTTTTACATCACTGTGGGCAGAAGGGCCTCCACTATAGGGAGCTCTACAGAGGCCCTCTAGAGGGAATGTTGGCCTACTGTTTCAAATTGAAAAGGTATGTGTACCCACAGTTTACCCCACCACACGTGACCTGCCGATGTATTAACTGGTGTACCCATTCATAAAGGTGGCGGAATTTTAATAAACGTGCACCATGTTTTTTTTTTTACTCGCACGCAATCTATTTGTGTCTAAGCATAATATTTAATGGGATTGATTAAAATGTGAATGTACATATTTACAAACCGTTTGTCAATCTACTGCTGGAAGAGGGCCTCCCCCACACCGTATGGGTCATGGGGATTATTTGACCATACTTGACCGCACAGGTCATTGCTGGTTAGTTAATGTGGGGCCCATAGAAGTAAAATACAACAATTAATTTTGGTGCACAGCCCTATGGCACCCACAATGTTGCCTCGCAACCGTATAGCAACCAATTCGTGCATGGCTGTCACCCATCCAAGCACTATCCAGGTTCAAACCTCTGCTTAGCATTCAAGATCTGATAGAATCTGCCACATTGCGAATGATTTGGTGATAGGCAGTTTATGTCCTTTTAGAAATATAGTCTGCTTATAAGCAGGATGAAAAAGTATATATTCTATATATATTTTCACTTGAGTGAAATTCAGGTAGAGTGAAAGACAGAAATGAGCTGCACCTGACAAATTCTGTGCAATCTAAGATAGTTATAACCAGTAAGCAAACTGAAACAAACCATAAATTGGCCCTATGTTGAATATGCAGTTCAACTGGTATACGCGGCGTGGAATGCTGGCTGCCATCTACAATGCCACGGAGCTGGTGATGGTGCAGGACAAGTCGCACGACTTCCAGGACACCTGGACCTTCCTGGAGAACCGCATCGGCAACGCCATGATGGCAGCGCAGACTGCCCAGCAGGCACGTGGGCGCGCGACCAGTCGCCGATTACCAATGCTGTTGGCGCTCGTACGCTCGCTGAATTGTTAATTCAAGATTGTAGTTATTCCTCATAAAAAAATGTTAATGTATTTTTTTAAGTTATATGTATGTATATTTAACTTCTTTCGCACCGTACGTAGCCAAGTATCTCCGTTTTATGCTAGTGTCCTTTTAAATGTTTTATTCCAATTGCATTTTCGACATCGTCGAACAAAACAAAAATTTCAGAACTCTTTCAGAAAGCAGTTCATTTTTGCCATTGCCCTAAGGGGATGGCTTATATATATTGTTCTGTTATTAGGTACCGTTAATGACAAATCTATTGGTATTGAATGAGGTTGCTCCTGCAAATAAATTCCCTCTATTTATGATAGGTTTTGATGACTGGGCTAAGACTATCAACCTGCTACACATTTAAAAAAACAGTTAAATTGTGGATGGCTGCCCAGATTCAAACCAAAGATCTTAGCAGCATGTACTCAGTTTTAATGCTCACACATTTTACTTCATATCTAGATTTTCATCTGTTGATTTTACTTAAATTTCACTCTTGAATTTACTGTTAATTATTATCACTTTAAATCTATGCCACATGTTATTTTGGTTATCAACCCCAAAGTAAAGTCATACAACAATCATGTATGCATATAGCACACACAGCCTGGCCCTCGCACTTACGGGTTCCAACAAACATTCACAAACTCGGTGTGCACACCATCTGCCATTCTGAGATTGCCTCTTTCCTAGACGACGTCCAGTTTTCCTATGCTGTGCAGTGTCTTGACGATGCGCAGTGTCCGACCTTTAAACGAGGTGGTGCTTGTTTGTGGTATCAACACTGTGGCCCTGCTAATTCCAGCGTTGCCATCGTCCCCCGGCAGGTGAAGGACACGGGTGAAGCGTTGGTGCAGGGCTTGGTTGGTGCCGCTGTCACGGTAATTTTTATTGAGACGCATGCACCTACGTAGCAGTCATTAGAAACTTGCTTCCACCTGCAATTTGCAGATGGTGTCCGTTGTAACATTCTGTCGCTTAATTCAACACATTTTTTTCTTCACTGTGCAGCTAAAGAACTTGACGGGGATGAATCAGCGCAACTGAAAGTGGTGGTCGGCTGTGTCTGGTGTTTGGATCAGCTGGAAGCTGCAGTGACATGTGAACATCCATGCTTTTCACTAGTCACCCAAATTGTACGGTTAGTTTTTATGTTTTAAAATCTGTGCAATTGCTGCTCTCCACCTTGTGAAATGCCTAAATAGGAGTTGCGGCTTCGGCCATGATAGAACGGATAATTCATCGACTGAGAGAGGATTAACAAAAGACTATTGGTGGTTTTCATTGTTATATTTAGCACTGTTTCTAAATTGTAGTTTCACTGGAAAATATTGGCTTGGAAATATCACAGCTCCTAGCCAATGGCCAGTTTCATAAAATAACTTTAGTTTTTTCCTCCCTTCGCTTGTACTGCTTTAGATTATAAAAGCCAAAGGAAAGTGTCAACAAAAGTTATGCTGGTTGTCACTATAGTAAAACATACATATGCGATTGAGAAACATTCGGAATGACAAATTTATGATTTCATTATTTTATTTTCCAATTTAATTTCAGATTATCCAGTATTGGATGCTATTTGTAAAATGGTACATAGCAAGACAAAATGGTCTGTTTTGGCAATGCATGCTTCCAAGGTAATGGCAATGGCTTTACGTCTTACTAGATTGCATGCTCACACATCTTAAATGTACAATTGAAGCAATTGGCGGGACCCCGGGGTCCCATCACTGCCCCGGGGTGGAAAAAACCGCGTAGCGACACGAGTCTTGTTGCCTTACCAACAACATAACTAGTGGTGGTCAATCGATTGGCCTCGTCGAGAGCTACTAGGGGCACTAAGTTTCGTAAAAAGTTGAAAAATTACATAAACACGTTAATTTCACTGCGGGGGCGGACTCGCCTTGACAAAGAAGCTGAGGATCGACGACTGACCGGAGGGCGTTGTCGCCGCGCACGACTGCGGCGGACGCCCCCCGGGGCTTGCGTTTGGCCGGTGGGGTGGCGCCCATCGTGTTGATCGCCGCCTGCTGCTGGTGCTTGTTGGCGCGAGTCTGGGCGGGCGGCGCGTTGCTGTCGGGATCACGAGTGGGCGGACTGAAAAATAATAATTATTATTGACCTGATTTTTGCGGAACCCCGGGGTCCCGCCAAATGATTCAATTGTGCATTCAACTCAAATGAAATATCCTTGAACTCATTAAGGGTGTAATTACATCTCTTGTTTTGGAGAGAGTTGGCTGACTAAAATGTGACAACTGTTTTATTTCTACTTTGTTGATAATAATAAAATGTGTTCTTTGTATTGGCTCAGGGTAGAACAGTAGCACCGTGGTTGGCACACTGTGCAGTGAGCCTGGAAACCTTAGTTTGAATCCCAACCATGACTAACATAAGCATAAAGTGATATCTGGACTGCTCCTGAGTCCCACCTTCACCCGCACTGACGAGTGTGGTATGGGCCCACGGAGCTGCTCTTGTGAATGTCACAGTCGTTAAGATTGACACCAGGTGCTGGATTGTTTTATGTGTTAAAAGCGTTGTATAAAAAAATAAAAGGCTGTATATTGATACTTGTGCCCTTAAATTTTACTTTGAACTCACAAAGGTCAACCGAGAAACTAAAGCACCAACCATTAGAGAAGAGAGAATAGCCCCTTGCGATTTGGTGTATCCTGTTTGATCGTGTTTACAAAAGTTACTGTCAGTCCACAGAGGATGCAGTCAAATCAAAAGTGCAAGCTGTGATGTTATGCTGACCAAAACACTCATGTCAGTACACAGAGCCTGCTGCGATGTCACCGCATAGAGCATGCTGGGGTAGACTTGTCATACCATACCCCAAGGAGGTCGATAAAATAACACCTTTTTATGTCGACTGCTTTTTCTTTGCAGAGACTGTCCCTTGCCATATGAATGTGGAATTTCCACCACCATCTGTTTGGACCACGAGTGTGGCACCCCAATTGCCATTTGAGCAAAGATTCATGTCATCTAATTTCCACACGGAGACCTGTGTTAAGGTCTCAACTCAATAACGTAAAAGGCAATTAAGAAATATCAAACTCTCACGTCAATCAACCCGCAAGCCATCGTCGAGCCGTGCGCTTTGGCGAGTCTCCACCTGGTGGACACAGAGACTTACTGCATTTCTCATGGTCCACCCTAAATTGCATCCGCGCAAACCATGGCAGATGCGGATACCTGATGCACAAATGGACAATGAAAAACTCTCCAGTGTGCGACTGGTCATCCAGAACAGACCATACAACATCTAACGATGCAATGCCCTATCCACAAATACAAAAACATCACAGCGATACACACCACTACTCCTGACGCGTTTATCTGGTTCACCTGAATGTAAAATTGTAGTTCTGCATCTACATCAGCCATACGAAAGAAGAAGACTGCATTTCAAACTCTGAATCGAATAGTAACACCTCTGTAGTCTGCGCTCCTTCAACGGAGGAGGAAAAGCAACACGACACAAACTCTCATGAAGCCCTCTCGTGACATCGACTATGGTATCTCGCTCCTCAGGTTGCTGTCATACGCAAGAATAGAATAGTAAGTAGCAAGCAGGGTCTGGTTACAACCAGGCTCTGTGGATAGGGTAATAATTATCATATGTAAATCATCAACTCCCATAAAAACAGCGACTGGGTGATAGGGTGGAAATTTCGAAATGGATTATTTATTTGTAACTACATGGAGTCGACTCCAACCCAACTTTTTGAGATCCTGGCATCTAAATAACACAATTATATATTAAAAATGAATTTAAAAAAACTCATTTGGTCAACATGACCCTCTTCCTGTATTACAATGTGCTGTTGAAGGATACATTATTGGTGGCCAGTATGAAAATAGCAATTATTTTATTGGTTGAGTTTTAAAGTTACAGGTTTACATTGCTATTATTCATCGGTTAGTTTTTTAATTAATGTACTGTCATTTTTGTGTGAATTGTAATCATTGTTTGGTTATTTTTATACTTTGATTATTTGTCAATATACAGGACAGTATGTACACTATATGTAGATGCCCTAAAGTACCATTCAGTTAATGTTTGTTTCTTCTGTACATAGGTCATTTTTTATCACTCACTTCCTGAATTTTCAATTTCATTTTTCAGTGAGCCATTCGGCTCTTGAATCGGGTGCAACCGCAACAAACAAAAACATGAACTATTCGTGCTGTATTAATCCAGCAATAGTACATTCGATTACAAAATATAGGGGGTGTAACAATTATATGCTTTAGTAACTTGGTGCGGGGAGGTGGGATTGGAATCAGAATGGATTACAACAAACCCCATGTCAACAATCTATAGACTCTGGTCACGACTCCCAAAAATACTGTATCGTAGTCTGGCGTCCCTAGCGGAAAAAGGGTGAGAGAGAGAGGGTGAGTGGGCGGGGAGCGGTGGTGCAGCGGTTAGCGCGCTGCTCTATGCATTTGGCGAGTTCAATTGTGGCCCACGGCCGTCAACACCCGTGACGGTTATCTGAACCGGTCACGGGCCTCCCCGAGGTCGCCTCGTCCTCAAACGAGTACCTGGTGTGGTGTGTTAAACATCTCACCACTGGGGGAGACAAAGGCGGCCGGGCGTGGTGTGCGTTGGCCGCCCTCGTGTGCCGTGCCGGCCTTCATAAGTGCTACTCGTCAAGCAGGGTTTTCCCCAACAACACTTTGAAAAGTCTATTACGGGGGATGTTTATCGGTGCTCGAGCTTGTTGAGCAACAGTCCAATGAATGTGGCAAGGATGCTTGTGTGGGCTGGCCCCGAGCAACGCGGCTCTGGATACTCCCACCACCACCACCACTAACCATCCCCGTTTTTTTTTAACAAAAACAACGCGCTCGTTCGTGGTCGTCTTTCACTGCCCTCCTTCATCCCTCCCACCTCGCCGCAACAACAACCACCACCGCCGCGTGAGTGGAAGGAATTGTGAGTACGGGTTCCGCGAACGTTGTTTGTGGGGCTTTCGCAAAGGTGAAGTTCGGAGTCTGTGTGTGGGTAGGCAGGTGAGCCGCGTGAATCCCCGCTACCTTTGGGGCGTGATGGGTTGGAAAGCCACAAGCAGTGCCAGATTAAGCGAGTGCGGGGCCTGCAGCATATGTTAAAAAAGGGGCCCTATTTTTTTGTAAAAAAACCCCCACAAATATTGAAACACAAATTTGTTAACTTGCATAGTAAAATAATTGTTTTTTTTTCTTTTCCATTTGCTATACAGCCAGATAATACGACAAATCGCGAACCTTGAACACCCAGTCGTTCGTAAAAGTCGAAGGCGGTATAGTACTATAGTAATAGAGCAAGTGCAGAGTAACTGAACCGGAATTGATAGCTTGAAAGCATTTAGCGCGGGGTCCTTGAAAGTGCGGGGCCCGTAGCTACTACATATGTAGTAGTAGCTACTACTACATATGTGTAGCTACTACTACATATGTAGTATACATATGTAGTAGCTACTACATATGTATATGTATACTACATATGTAGTAGCTACTACACGTGCAGCTACTTTTGCTCCTGGGGTAATCCGGCACTGGTCACAACTCACAAGGTTTGACGGCTGCGTGGTAAGAGGAGGTTGACCAACCCCTGCGTGACCACGTCCAGGTAAGCCGTCTCAATCGATGGGGTCGTTCGTTGTACAATGCGCCTCTCACAATCGCCGAGGAACCCACAGAGCGAGTTGCCTTGAGCTTTCTGAAGGTTCCCTCTGCCATGAGTAGGACGGGTTCATAGGCGATGCCATGGACGTTTATAATGAGCGCGCGGGGGGGAGGCAATAAGGGTGAATGAATGGTCACGCGTGCGGACAGCTAACAAACAACGTTGGCCACTTCTAGTTTGTTTCGCCAGTGTAAAGTATGAAAAGATCAGAATAGGGCTTCGGGCTCAGCTGTTACCGCCGTCTCCTGACGAGCCAGGGGTATGGTCCCTCCTTGAACCACCCAGTCCACCGGCGAGCCCCCCCCCCCCCCACGGGGGAAGGAGGTTTCACGACAAACGATCGATTGATCGATCTAACTAACCCTCGTAGCATCCAATAAGGGGGAATCAATCAATCAATCAAACTCTATTTCTATAGCACTACTCTGATTCTTTCGGCAAAGTCACGTAGTTAGAAATAAAATAAAATAGATCACGACGTTTCGGGCGCAACACAAGCGGTCGTCTACAGGCAAAGGAGTCAGCCTCTAAAGGCAAACTTTATAAGGGTTTGGGGATGGGCGTAGCCAACAACAACAATAGCTGTTGTTGTTGGTGCACTTGGGCTAAGGCCCATCAACAACAACAGTTTGCCTTTAGAGGCTGACTCCTTTTGCCTGATGACGACCGCTTGTGTTGCGATCGAAAACGTCGTGATTTGTTTTATTTTATTTCTACCTACGTGACTTTACCGAAACAAGCAAAGAGTATGGATTCCTGCAGTCACGAAAGCTTCAAATCAAGATTCTATAGCACTATTCGTGCAAAAAAATGCAATACATAGTGATTTACAGGCATGAACAATAAGAGTGAAATTGTTGGCAAAATAAAATCACGTAACAAAATTACTAGCAAAGGCATAATAAAAATAACACATTAAGAGAATCCTAATTAAAAGCAAGTTACTAGCGGCTCTTTTGCCTACTTCAGCAACTGTTTTTTTTGCTGTGGTTGTCCCACCTGATGACGGACGCTTGTGTTGTGTCCGAAACGTCGTGATTTAATTTATTTTTCATTTTCTTTACCTACGTGACTTTACCGATAGAACCAAAAAGTATGGATCCTTGCAGTCACGAAAACTTCAAATCTAGAATGAAGTTTTAAAAAGTATTTAAAAGTGCTTAATGATTCTGAAGCCCTCCGATCCCGTGGCAGGCTGTTCCACATGTTCCTGGCCTTGGGACGACTTAAAGACCAGTAGTACCAGAGGATCCGAGGGATCTTGTTGGTTCATATCATAGAAGCATGGAAGACATGTAACAGTATACAGGTGCCAGACCATTCAACGACTTAAAAACCAACAGACGAATTTTAAAATCAATTCCATGACTGACTGGCAGCCAGGGCAAGGATTGTAAAATGTGTGTCACGTGGGTTCTCATTCTGGTTCTAATCAGTACACGTGCCGCTGCATTCTGAATCAGTTGCAGTTTTACTTAATAGTTTCTTCCTAAGGCCACTTTGTTTGCGCCGGGAATGCCAGAGAGAGAAACGGGGGTTACAATCGAATGGATTCATCCGATGAATGTATTACAGGTTTATATTCTTGGTTCTTTCGGTAAAGTCACGTAGAAGGGAAACAATAAAATAATAAAAATATAAAACAAATAAAATTCTCACGACGTTTCGACTGCAACACAAGTATTCTGATGATGATTCCTTGTGTTGCAGTCGAAACGTCGTGAGAATGTTATTGTTTTATATTTTTATTTTATTGTTTCCCTTCTACGTGGTGACTTTACCGAAAGAACCAAGAATATGAATCCCTGCAGTCACGAAAGCTTTAAATCCAAATTTATTACAGGTTTGTTGTGTTTGTAGGGCGAGGAATGTTACTCCAACACGTTCGACAACGCAGCACGGTGTTGCACTTTACGCAGGTGTGAGTGCAGGTTATGAAAATCTGCAAGTCAATGTCTTTGTCTTCATATGCAACGGTTTAACGCGTTGCGCTACTAAACCAAGCGACCCGAGTGTAGACATTCCACACAAACACATAATAATGTCGGAGCAAGTGTAGTTAGTGAGTAGCACCTACTCGCTAACAGTTCCTACATTATGTGTTTGTGTGGAATGTCTACATTTATGTTGAAATCAGTAGGTGTGAGCTACCGATATAAACAGGAGGCAAAGAGGTGGATGTAATGAGTTGTGGTATGAATGAGAAACTCTACGCATTCGTCAATAACACTGCTGGTATAAAATATTTTTTTGAATAGGCGACGTTGCAGCAGGCAACGAGCCGTCTTCATAGCACATGCATAGAGTGGCTCGCTCGTGTGGCCAGAGACGAGTTGGAGACTGCACTCTCACACCGTGGGGCCTAGTGTATAGGGCGGTCCAGATGTTCTGTGACCCCCTAATAGCTGACCATAAAATGTTTTTCCTTTGCATGTTATTTTCTGGTTTTAAATAAACCTTACTTCAAAAACATAACGTTTTAGATAATTAAATGGGGGATAAGGGGTGGGAGGGGGGGGGTCACGACACATCGGGACCACCCTGTAGATTTAAATGGTTTTGGCTGGGAGAAGAGTGTGGTGGGGAGGGGTTGTTCTGAGGCGGTGGCCGGATAGCAGCAGCAGCAGCAGGAAGAACATTGGTGGTGCCGAGACTTGGTGCTGTATTCACGTCGTCGTTGTTGACACGAGGAGGAGACAATGGGGCGGGGGGGGGCACAGCATTCGCAAGCGGCGCCACAATTCGATGCTGTATAGGTTGCAGTCTGTTTGTTTGAGCCGAGCGGTGGTGCTCCTATGCACGTGACTTGTAATCCAGTGGCAGCGAGGGTCGGTGGATGAATTGCGCAAATGTTGTGAAATTCCCTTCCCCATTGGGCGTCGAGGAAGGTGCCCGTACCCTGACTCGCCGGGAAGAAGGGGCGACAGCAAGCGGACCGATCGGCTTCGGTTTCCATCAGTACGGGGGGGGGATGGCGGGGGGATAGAGCGTTGCCCCCTCGCGCGTGTGCGTTGTCTCCGGTTTCCTCCCACTTGTGTAAGCGGTCAGTGTTAATTGTCTGAAAAAATACATTTACAGGTGAAAGGCCAGTGCAGGACCCTCCTGGAAAAGAGGGGGGCGGGGGTGGGGAACCCGCCCGTCTGGGGGGCCCACCCTCCCACCCTCCATGTGTTTTGTAGAGAGAGATCGACCTGTGCACCTGTCCCGTCTCTGCACCGCTAACTATGCATAGGAATGTGGTGGGATAACTTACTTTGCCTCGCGGGGCTTTAAAAAAAAACAGCCAACTTTCGCAGTCATATTCAAGACGACGGGTTTTAAAACAGCCACATTGGCCCAAATGTTAATCCCCCCCTCCCTCCCGCGTAGCCTGTCAACGCACAATGAGAAAACGCATTTCAATTCAGTCAGACAATGCACGTGCGCATTCAAAAACCTTCAAACGCTAATCACTAAATGCACCCCAGCGACATCACTGTCCCAGACTCACTTATCGAAGACGTTCAATGTTCATATTTACCAAATGTAAGTTGAACACAACATTTAGATCTGCAGATTATCTCAGGCATGGTTTTGACAATTTTTTTTTACGTTTTATTAACCTGCCATATTAATGTGTAAGTTCTCCAAATCAGCAATCGGTGCTTTATTTTGGCACGTTTTCTCATTTGGGATTTGGGCTCAGGGTTCGGCGCTAGGAGTTGCTATTATTGACTCTTTTTCAGGAGGGTCCTGTGCCGTTGTGAGTTTCGTTGCTTCACTCATGCTAATGAATAACAAAGGTTCGTAATTTGGCCTTCCATCGAAAAGTGTGTCCTGGCGTGCCTTAATCGGCAGTGCAATCACGTGCAGCCCCATGAATTTCACTCAAGTTTTGAAGGCACACCGGAACGTTGACATCGATCTTTGCTTCATGTACGAGATGAACCGTACACATCTTAACTTTAATTCAATACCTGACTTCCTGAATAATTGATGCATTGTCAGTCTAAGAAATTCTAAATAACAATAACGCTTCCCTTCGTTGACCATGCATTATTAATGCGTTGTAAACATGCAAGGCAATATTGTAATACGCACTAAGAGGCTCCACTGGTGGACATGATATATAGCAAATAAATCAATGCGACAGTACAATGTTTAGAGTGGAACGCAAAACGTTTTACTTAATCCAATTTTAGTACAAAGACCAAAACATTTATTTTAAATTCTTGATTGTGAATAGAACTCATAAAAAATTAATGAAAATGGGTCTGTGTTGCCTGATA